ATGCTATTTCATATAGCTCAACTTAACACACGCTTTAAGCTCTTCAGTCCGAAAGACAGCCGCAATATCGACAAATGGACAGTCGAAAAATTCTGTGGCAAAAACGACGAAACGCTTCGGCTGTTTTTCATCGGAAAAAGCGAACATCATCGCGCTGTTTAGACAGATCTGTTATTCTCACTGCACCGATTGGCACGTCAATGCGTCGAGTAAGCTGACGCGAATTGTCGATCAGATGCCTATGCGTGAACGATCAATGTTAAAAAATCGCTAGTTTCATTCGACGAGTTGCTCTTTGGTTTTCGCATATTTATTGGTTACTTCGGTTTTTCAACGGAAGCTGATAAGCATGAATATAGTGAGGGATGGTCAAGATTATTTTGAAGCCGTTTGCAAAACAAGACTTACAATTAGTGGAGAATTTTCGTGTAGGCATGTCCCAGAGCTATCGGTTTACTTAAAATTGTCACATTTGTTGTCAATTTAATTCGTTGTTAAGTTAGTCTTTCTGTTAGTCTTAATTTGAAGTGTTATATACAAGAAATATGTGATTGTAAAAAGTAACTTACGAAAATGATATTCAATTAGAGTGGCGTCTGCAATGAGACTTGAGACTTAAGATTTTAAAAAAATTGACCAATCACACTCGATTATTCTTCTTACGTGAGATAAATAATCGGCTACGATTGGTTAATTTTCTTATGTCTTAAGTCTCACTGTAGACGACGCTTAAGATATTGTTAAGGAAAGATTGACTTGTAAAAGAAAGCTTGTACTTAAAAAGAACGATGGAAGCTTCGAAATACACATGTTACGTGGTAGACAATTTGCATTACGCAGAGATTGCAAAGAATAACAAGAAGCACGTGGACGAATGATTCCGCGTAAAATTTTAAGCGGCTAAACTTTTTCGCGCGCTCCCTTTGTCTGCGATTTTTTGCGGTCGCGGTAATGGAGGTGGTCTTAAACCGGTGGTCTCGTTGGACCGTCGCATCACACACGGACACGCGATGCGGTCACATCACATTCAATGATAGTAACTGCACGATAACCGGCCGTGGCGAACGGAGAGAAATGAAAATGCGCGACTACTCGGAGACAAATCGGACGTCAGTCCCCAGCGGGCATCGAAAAAGCCACCGAATGTATCGGAAGTCTTTCGAAAATTTCAATGGTCACCGTTCTCCCGATAGGATGAATGAGAGGGAAGGAAGCAGGGAGGGAATAGGCAAGTCCCCTCCCCTCTTCCTCCCGATGCGGAATTGACAGCAAGTAGGTAGTACGTATGGATGCGCCATATACACGTATACGATGTATCTCGTTCGGCGCTTTGTGCTCCGTCATTCCTCGCCGTTTCCCGGAGCTTCGTATGAGAATTTGATAAGGCGCCAACACGGATGGCGATACCCGGGGAACGCAGACCGTGTTCGAGAGTTCACCCGTTACAAGTATCGTTGCTCGCATCGCGAGATAAGGAGAAGAGCCGAGATTCGCTCGGCGGAATACACTGTGATGTTACTTTACGACAAAAAGAAAAAAGGAATTGATGTCCTATTTTTTTTATACCCAAAAAATTTATCGCATTAGCATTTTCGCGCGTAATATAATGATCGAATAGCGAGTATAACATTATAATATCTAATTAGAGAATTATCCGCATATAAAAGCGGAGATTATAGCGATTAAATATTAATCGTGTATTGTACGATTGGCTGTGATTTAATGTAGCGCTGAGAGAATTTGATAGATCTAGGCTGCGAGGAGAAAGTTTCAGAGAACAAAAAGGGAATTTAACGTGACGGGTTAATACCATATGCCTCCTCGAGTCTGTCTCTCTCTCTCTCTCTCGTATCTCGCAACTCGTTTCGCTTTCTTTCTCAGCAGCCGCGTGAAAGCAAGGCGCGGGATCGGGTAAAATGAATCGTATCGCCTCGAGGAAACGTATTTCTCATATTTTATTCCCGCTGCTTTTTACCGTCGTCCCTTTTTTCATCACTGGTTTGATTTGAAATCCTCCTCCCCCGTCCTCCCCGCGCCCTCCCCGAAGTTGCAGGCGGGGCACGCATATAGCCCGTGGCTGTTCTAACGCTGGAAAACGCCTAAAGGAGAGAGCGCGCGGGAATTACAGGAAAGGAAAAGAAACGTGAGGAAATTTTGCGCGTCTCCCGCCCGGAATGATGAATGAGCCCGCCTTATCCATTCTGCTCTCAGATATCGTTCTGACTATTAAAAGAAAAGGGATGCGCGAAATTTTCAACGCGGCGAACGTGACGAGGCCGCCCTCCCTCTCTTCGTTTGCGAATTCCGCGCGCGCGCGTGTCTACCACCGTTACACCGTTGTTGCTGACTTTCGGTGTAAAATATTCATCGTCGCCGTATGACTTAAATAATGCAAGGACGTTTGCGGCAGAGGCCACTTGGCACACGAGGGCCGCGTGTGTCTCTCGCTATCACGAGAGTCGTTTTGCATGAGAATACAGATTTGCAACTAAAAAATTTTTTTCCGAGCGCGACGTTCCCGTTTCTCTCACCAATGATACCTACCTTCTCTTAGGGTTCGACGACCTCTAGTCTTTCCCAGTCTTTCGCGGCCCAGGTATCGAATCGATAACGGACGGATAATCCAATACGGATGCAAGCTACCCCCTCGAAGAGAATGGAAAGGTATCACAGAGAAAAGTCGACGCGCGCGGCTAATCTCGAGTGGCCCGGAGTGCATGTACCGTGCGGTACGTCCGGTCGAGGTTATTAAGACCCATCGATTTCGCTGCCGTAAATCTCGAAGAAAACGAATGGCGAACCGACACGGGAAAACACAATTTTCCGACAATATGCTTTCCTGGCGGACGAGAGAGGCAATCAAGCGTCACTTAAGAGCACGATCTTCCGATTTTATGATCTCGCGGCGAAACACCACTTTCGAACCGGCGCGGCGAGATTGAACGACCGAACGAAAATCTGGCCGCGCCGCCAAAATTCGCGTTATCTCCCTTCGCCGTCCCGTCGGCGGATCGTGTTCCTTCGAAATGCAATTCGTAATTTCGTTACGCGTTCATTTACGGCGTTTGTCGAACGCGTTATAGTTAAACGATTCCCGCGTATCTCCCCGTATTCGAATTTATTATATTATCTGTATCAGCAATGCAAATGAAAATATATGTATATATCTATGATATATACACAGCTATAAATATATATACTATGTATATATACATCAAAAGACACGGTCGTGTATATGTATAAAACATATATAACATATATATATATATATATACTTATAATATATTACACGCGTCTGACGCGACACGCTCTATACTACATGTATTTATTGACTGAAACCCGCCAATGCAAATGGAGGCTCGCACACATCCGGATAACGTATGTCCACACATATACCGTCATATATTCACGGTCTAATTCAAAATTTATTCATAGGATAATCTTGTGGAAACGGATAGATACGTATCCGGGCGTAATGTATATTTGAATATTTATACACAATAGGTCTAGAATATTAATTGCGATGTGTATTTTAGCTGAGTTTGCACAGTTACGCCCGCGTCAAGGGTGAAATTTGACGTGCGGGTTGAGGATCCTCGCGCGCGCGCGGGATCATCTATTTATCTTCATATATACCTGTAAATTTCGCTTCCATTATTCTGTTATTTCGGTGAAAGTCGCTTTTGCAACTAATCATCTCGTTCCCCGCCGACGTGTACTTGACGCGTTATTGAATCCACGAATAAATCGATAATTGTTTTATAATTGCGCGTCTATCTCGCCGTGGAGGAAACGATCGCGGCGCGCGGTTCAGATAAATGACGTCGAACAGTTGGAATATCTATTCTCAGGTCGGCTTCCGCGAGACAGAAAGGTGTGTAACGAGAGTAGTTTACTACTTAATCGGAGTTCCGCGGGAGCGGATTCCCCAACTACTCCAATTAACCCGCCGTAAAATCCGATTGTGAATAGGTTCAAGGATAAATTCTCGGTGCGCCGATCGATTAACCGTCTAGCGACGTCAGATCGCGACGGTGAGTTAAGGATCCCTTTAATAGCGCTTTCCAAAGATTCATCCTGTTAATTAACGGCGCAGCTGCCGGAACGACGAGGACAATTGCGGCGCTGACGCGGACTCGCAGACGGTTTAAATTTGACCGCGCGGGACTCCCCCAAAAGATATAGATTCCGTCGATCGCGAGCAAATAAAACGTAAACGTGCGGATACGTGAAACGATAACGTATACCGTTCGCGTTTAAGCGCGGTCAGCAAACGTTTAATGCGAGATTGACCGACGGGACGCAGTTTGCGCGCCGCGGAGAGAGAGAGAGCTGCAGCTCTACGGTCGTTCAGGGTCCCGCGCAGGAAGCGGCCGAGGGCCTTGATGGGCGTCGTTATGCCTTTGTGAATGGCTATGGGACAAATTACATTGTGGGCGGCAGTGGGGAATAGTTGCGGGGAACATTTTTATAAGTTCGAGCACACCGAAGAGAAAAACAAAGCGGCTGAACGTCGGCCTACGCCTAGAAGACGCGAGTAATCAGAGCCGTTGTATTAATTGCACTTCCTCTCATATATTCATCTCCATTTTTCGATTTTCGCAACTCCGCGAATTGATCGTTCGAAATTAATTCTTCCCCTTTAAAGACGTATATCATATCTTTTATTTTTTCTCCGCGAAAGAAATGCATCAGATAGCATCAGATTTATGCGGCTTGAGATTAAGTCGGAAGTCAGGAATTTGTTATGAATTACATGCGATGGCCTAAAGGCAATAGCAGTTCTCGATATCATCCAATATTTTATCACGTGCGAATTACGAGAAATTCTTGTAAAACATATTCCAGAATCTCGGAGCGACGATGACAAATATATAAGAAATATTTTGCTCGCCTGTCGATCATCTTATTACATATTTTTTTTTTACACGTAGTTATCGTTATTTATTGTGCGCTCGGATATCTGCTTTGACAATGAGAATGAATTTTTCCAGCTGAAATTAATTAACAAGTTATTATTTTATTTCACCGTCAATCATAATATGTGTTTACATTATCATATTTTCATGCGCAAATTAATAATACGTGGTACATCTGCTATCTTGTAGTCGTGTAAATCGGCTCATCGTCGAACTCGTATTTGTACTTGCCGAAGGGTTGATGGTTGTGAATATTGTTCGCCGCCAAATACGCGTACACGCGAGGGTTTCGCGGTCCGGGCACGTAACGCCCGTATCGGGACAGGACGAGGGCGAGAACAGGATTGAGCGGCGGGTGTACCTTACTATTGTAACCGTCGTCGTTTAGAGTACGGCTCAGGAAGCGATCGAGGGCCTTGATGACTGCCGTTATGTCCTGCGGATCTCGATGGTAATACGTCGCCTCCTCAACTTTTCCACGATACGGTAATTTATCGTCATTCAGCTCGTGCGTCAGGTATCTGTCAACTGCTTCGACATCCTGATACGCGAATCGTCGAGGTACGTGGCGATGATTTTCCCGGATACCTCGAGGTCCCGATAACGTTGTCGGCGAGGTCGTCGTCGTCGTCGTCGTTGCCACCGTCGTCGTCGTCTTCGATGGTGGCGGCGGAGATGCGTTCGGCACTTTCGCCGAAAGCCAAACGTCGTCCTGGTGAATTTCTGTAGGGAACCTTCGAGTACCGAAGAAGAAGATACAGTATAATATGCGCATCTTTTGCGAGAGAGATACCGCAAGACTTTCCATCGAAATGAGAATCGTCGATATTAATATTTTAAAGTTTCGTTCATATCTTCAAAATTATTAAAACGAATTATTTAATACACTGTTAAATTTATAATGTCAAATTATACTCAATTTGTAATTTCTTGTCTTTGCTTTTATATAATATGTCGTTAATTTAATTAAAACAATGAAATTAAACAATTTAACTCAAGAAATGTGTTTAATTTGACTCAAATTAAGTTTATATTGATTAAATACACAGTAATATGAAGCAATTCAACCAGAAATGGGTCGATTAGATAAGATTGTTTTTTAATCATGTTTTTTGTTAAAACATTTTATAACAATTATGACCCATATGGAAGTTGAAAATAACGAAATCTTATTTAATTCAAAAGGAATTGAGTTACAGCTGCTCCTTTCATATTTAACAGTGTATTTTTTAGTAACTCGTGTTTATATTTTATGTCTATTTATTATTTCCTATTCTTAATCTCATTCACACACTTCTGTAATGTAAGAAATGACGACTTTAATACCTCTGAGGACCCGTTTGTGACTTCTGCCTGCGATTTATACTTGACGTCGACGCAGATTGAAGACCCACTAGACGCTTTGCTTGTAGGGCTCTGGAGGATGATAGTTCCTTCAAATCGCTGCTGACTGCGCGACGATCATCGTATTGATGATTCAGATGTTTCGCAAACGGAGAGCTCGTAGCCGGCAGATAACTATGCCACTGACGCGGTACATTCGTCGGATTCACAGATGCCTTGGTCACTAGTATGGCACTCGTCAGGCAGACGCGTGTCACCTACATTCAAGACAAGGGGTATATCTATTAGCCGCAATTCGCATCTGTCTTTTGAAAACGCATACCCGTCGTGCCGTCGTTCCGTTATACGGCGGCACAACGCCAGACTCATTTTAGGACCAGGGTCGATGCACCTAAAGTATCCCAAGAGCGAAAATGTATTATACAAGCCAACAGCCAAGTTCACGGCTGCTCGGATAGCAGATTTCGAGACTATCCAACTTTTCACTTCGGAATTCTTACTTCGCGATAAGCGAGAACCACCGCGCTGTTAACATATCACGAATAATAAATGTAGTTGGTGTTAACTTTAAATCTCGATTAGCATCACATTAAATCGTACGTTGTAGAAAAATGTGAAATTACATTAACAATAAGTGTAAAATCACATTTGTAATAAAAGTCTCACTATTATCATTTACTTACATTTTCGTTATATAAATTAACATTATCGTATTATTTTTGCTGCTCACATATTTTATAGTATATTTTACGGCGCACATCGTTATTCTATTTAGTATATATTTATCAGTCAATACATTTATTCTGTATTATATTTATCAGTTAGTATATTTATTTTATATATTAAATCATCACAGTTGTATTTCGAATGCATTGCGAATAACTTGGATGTTTCGGAACTCTCATTACCAAACAGACAATGCCGATTTTCTTGGCGACGGTCATCCTCCTTCTATTTCGTAAAAAGGACTAAAACGGCGGCACGCACTTCGCGTGCCATTTATACGGCGTGCCGTCGCGTCTGCTTAAGAGCCAAGTCTTGTTCTAGCCAGGAAATGCGTAAAGCGACGGTAGTCCCGTCTCTGTTCTTTACACTGAGGATTTCAACATTTTCCCCGCCCCTCTTTCCTGTGTCAAGACCAGTATACGCGCCATTCACGCGAATTGCGAAGCGTTATTAGGAACTTTCCTTTTGTCTCCGGGAAGACGGTCGCGAGACGAATTCTGCATGACGAATAACTTCTGCTTCATTTAAATTTCTTTCGTCGTTTCGTTTTTATTTTGTCGCAACGGCTTTTGTTATGCGGATTGCGGATGCGCTTTTGGATTTAGAGTCGAGATTATCTTTCCATCCTTCGGAGGAATATAGTTTTTATAATATAAAGAAAGAAAAATAAGATATTATATCAATTAAACATTAATGATTGTTAATAAAAGCTACAAGTCTTACGAATTAGTCGAAAAAGTCCACAGAATGAAATATACGCTGTGAGAAAAATTGCATAAGTTTATTCACATAATTTTGCAATAATTGCATAATAAATTAATTAAAAATTATAAAGATATTAATTTTTATCTTGTTCGAACGATAAATAGAACCGACAAAATGGCGACTCGTGACAACTTCATTTTAGTTCGTACTCTTCCTCCAGATTACGTAACATTATGGTCGATATTTTTTTATCTCTTGCTGAATATGTAGATAAATTAATAATAAATTCAGGATACTTGAGTTACCTTTGTACGATATACAATCTCTTTTAACTTTGATCGACTACTGGTATACGACTCAATGAGATCCTGGGAGTTGTAATGCACGTCTGGAGACCGTGTGAGTTGTCTAGAGAATCTGAATATCACATATTTCTAGCTGGTATACTGGTTTTGAAATTGTTGGTTCCAGGCTCCAGCTTCAATTTCAGTTAGAGATAAATCTGAGAAGGGATGTGCCCGCGTTTTAAATGTATCGTGTCTTTTTTGAAAATGATTTTTTGAATGGATTTAATGTGTCAAACATTCTGCGTCTTTTAGTATGAGAAACTGTCAGCTCCGATAGTTCCGAACAAAGTGATCATGTATTTCGATGAATTCCGCTTAAAATATTTTGCTTAATAAACTTGCCAAAATAATGTTTCATGTTACTACTATAATAAATTTAAAAAAAAATGGAAAAATTTCTTCAATTATCGTAACAATTAGAATATTTAGGATATAGGTTATTACGCGACTACATGAAACAAAGCAGAAAACTTCCGATAATGCAATCAGTTCATCGGAAGCTGTCTAAAATGTAACGAACAGATTATTTCGCATTTACTTATTTCGAAATATACGTTGAATATTTTGTGACAGCGAGATTGTTGGCCTTAATATTGTTTTCGCGCGGAGCGGCAGATGAGGCGTTGTGCCCACGGGCGGTCGGCGCTCTATCATTCAACTTCGGACGCTCGTCCGGATGGAGGTAGCAGTGCAGTGCTCCACAATACGTGGCACGTATCTTCGCACTTTCTTACGAAACGCAATCGCGCGATAAGTGCTAAATAATATGAAACATCCCTGCACTCTACAATTATTACAGTAAACGTTACACTAACTCGTACAGTAAATATTACACTAACTCGTGTGATTGTTAACTATTTGTAAACGTGTCTAGATTCCAAAAGATCAGGAAACAGATTTCTCATACGATTTATGTTCATTCAAAACGACAGTACACAGGATTTATAATATCTGATAAAAAATGATAAAATATATTTAAAACGATAGAAAACAGGGTTTATAATATATGGATTTCGCGACAGTTACGGACCATAATTATTTTAATAACACACTTGACACTGATCAGATCTATCTGGTTAGCTCTCCCGATTCATTTTATATTTTCGCAACACGCCACAAATTTTTCACTACTTAAATGTAATTTACTTTGCAAATTTCGAGGTAACAGAATAATACAGATCAAATAATTTAATTAATAAAACGCTATGATGAAATGACTTTTTTATTAATAATACAATAAGGTTTTCTCGTGGCGTAAATTCGCCAAATAAAACGCGAATATCATGAATATCAATCAGATTATAACTTTGTACTTTTGCATTTTTTCTTGCTGTGCCATCCGCAACGAAGTAAGTGCGCATCGCGTTTAAATATCCGGGAAGGATCATAAAAACTATCACGGAATTATTATATTATGACTCTTGACAATTACTTTGCGAATTAAATAGACCGTAATTAATTAATCGTATTCGCGTGTGAGTGTTGTATGCAACGAATTTCCATCACCCGGTAGAGAAATTCTTGTGGAGAAGCAATCTTGAGATAAGTCATAAGTTATATTTTTTTTACTGTAGGGTACCGATCTTTGAAGAATCAGATATATCTAGATTTGTATGTCAAATTAAATGAAAAAAGGTAAATATAACGTTATATAGATCCATTGTCTTGAAATAGATTCGAACGAATTATAATGTTTAACTTCGGAACTGTATATTCATAAATTATATTTTATTATAAGTATATATTAATCTATCTACATATATCTTATATCTTACAGATTTTATTGGGATAGAATTATCTATTATCTATTCTTTCTCTAGACTCTATTCAGTTTTCATTTATATTTTCTATTGATTTGATGATCAAATTATTAGATTACAAATCGAAAATCGTGAATGTAGCGTGTTACCCGTTGAAAGTATTCGCTATGTAGTTCAATGTGTGCACATTGTGGCGTTAGTGAACGCGAGCACGACGGCACGTCTACTCTGACTTTCCTAACCTAACCTAACAGTAACAACATAGGTATTCGTCCTAATGGAAACGTCATTCCATGAGAACGTGCTTGAAGCGTGTCTTCCCGCCAAATTTCCATCGGTCTTGTTTTTAATGTCAGCTTCAGTTTATCCGTACTTTTCCACGCATATCCAACGTGTTTCTTTGTAATTCATCGAAGAGATGGATGCTGCACCCCAACAAGCTGTTCGAGCACGTGTACGAGATGAGGTCGGGGTCAAGTGTCAAAAATTGTTTCAGGATTTCCTGGAGAGGTAATGTTTTATAGGTTGAACATCCTCAACGCCACGAATATGCGAGGATGCATTCCTTAATTCGGCTTATTCGGACTAAAGTTGAACATATAGTAACATTCACTTGCTTCATTGATTGCTTTTCTATCGCAGATTCAAGGAATTTGGGATTATTAAATATCTGGAGCCAGCCAAAGAACTCATCAGTCCAGAACGTTGCACCCTGGAGGTGTCTTTCGATGATATGGAAGCGTATAATCAAACGCTCGCCACAATTATAGTCGAGGAATATTACAGGTGTTATAATCGGTCATCGCTATCTCCTTTTTTTTTATTTACGAGAAATATAAATAAACGAAAATTTTTTCTTTGTTCCAGGGTATATCCATATCTGTGTCAAGCGGTAAGCAACTTTGTCAAGGATGTGGGAAATTTGCCAAAGGACAAGGAGTGTTACGTCAGTTTTACCGACGTATCTATTAGGCATAAATTAAGGGAGTTGAATACATCGCTGTTGGGCACTTTGACCCGCATATCTGGACAGGTGGTACGAACGCATCCTGTTCATCCAGAGTTGGTCCTCGGCACGTTTATTTGTATGGACTGCAATGCGTTTATTAAAAATGTGGAGCAGCAATTTAAGGTATGTATATAATGAAAATCTGTTTATATTATATAAGGCACAGCTAATTATAACTTTGGTTCAGTTGCCTTCAGTGTTTATTGTTTTCAGTTTACAAATCCGACAATCTGTTCCAATCCAGTGTGCAGCAACAGACGTCGTTTCCTATTGGACGTGGATAATTCAGTGTTCGTCGACTTTCAGAAAGTGCGAATTCAGGAAACGCAAGCTGAACTTCCACGTGGCTCTATACCTCGCTCTGTCGAAATTGTTCTGAGATCTGAGATAGTCGAGATGGTGCAAGCTGGTGACAGGTAAGTTTTGAAAAAAAAAAAAAAAACATTTTAATGATTAAAATTGTAAGCTTAAATAATAAAACTATTCTCATTTTTACAGATACGATTTCACAGGAACTCTCATAGTAGTGCCGGACGTGGGGGCGTTAACTTTGCCAAGTGCCAAGGCTGAAATGGGGCCAAGAAACAGGAATAATGAGCAGAGGGAAGGTGTAACTGGCCTCAAGGCGCTTGGTGTCAGGGAACTGACGTATAAAATGGCATTTCTCGCCTGCAGCGTTACCAATACGAGCGCAAGGGTAAGCAGACTCGACAAGCAAATGAAATAAAATGCTTATTTAAAAAATGTATATATTCGATCGATATTTCATATTGTGTTATACAGTTCGGTGGTACGGATGCAATGGAAGAAATTTCACAAGAAGTGATGAAGAAACGAATGACGGAAGCGGAGTGGAATCGCATCTACGAGATGAGCCGCGACAAAAATCTATACTCAAACATAGTCTCCAGCCTGTTTCCCGCTATACACGGTAACGACGAAATCAAGAAAGGAATCACGCTGATGTTCTTCGGCGGCGTAGCGAAAACCACGGAGGAGGGCACGTCGCTGAGAGGAGATGTCAACGTCTGCATCGTCGGCGATCCCAGCACCGCGAAGTCGCAGTTCCTAAAGTGCGTGACCGATCTCTCGCCCAGGGCGGTTTACACGTCCGGCAAGGCATCGAGCGCGGCTGGCTTGACGGCCGCGGTTGTACGAGACGAGGAATCCTCGGACTTTGTCATAGAGGCCGGGGCGTTGATGCTCGCGGATCACGGCGTCTGCTGCATCGATGAATTCGACAAGATGGATCCGAAGGATCAGGTCGCGATTCACGAGGCCATGGAGCAGCAGACAATTTCGATAACTAAGGTAACATTTAATATTTGTGCAAAGAATCTAATATATTTATATGTAAAAAGAATTTTATGAAGAATTTTCTAAAGTCCACGTGTATTTCCAGGCCGGTGTAAGAGCGACTTTAAACGCTCGGACCTCCATACTGGCGGCGGCAAATCCCATCGGCGGGCGATACGACAGGAGAAAGTCGTTGCAGCAAAATGTACAGTTAACCGCGCCTATCATGTCGAGATTCGATTTGTTCTTCGTGGTGCTGGACGAGTGTAACGAAATCATCGATAACGCGATTGCCAAGAGAATCATAGATTTACACTGCGATAACGTGAACGATCTTCAGGTGGTCTACCAACAAGACGAGATTATTAGATATATCAACTTTGCCAAACAGTTTAAACCCATTTTAAGTCAGGTAAGATACACTTCTGGAGTAAACCAATTTGGCAAAGCCAATTTATTGAAGCTACATCGGTTAATTTCAAATCGTCAAATTTTTGTAGGAAGCCGCTGAGCTTTTAGTCGAGAATTACACGGCTCTCAGACAAAGAACGGGCAGCGGAAGCGGCAAGTGGAGGGTCACCGTGAGGCAGTTGGAGAGCATGATTAGATTGTCCGAGGCATTGGCGAAAATAGAATGCATGGACGAGGTGACAGTGAAGCACGTCAAGGAAGCGAAACGATTGTTGCAAAAGAGTATAATTACGGTGGAACAGCCCGACGTAGACCTCGAGGAAGGCATGAACGATGGGAACTTGGGGATGGACATAGTCGACGAGCCACCACCGCTCATGGCGGCGTTTAACGCAGACGGCAACGACGACGCGCCGCCTTCAACACGTATGTCTGCACACTTATTTTATTGCATACAGTAGTACATCTGTTTTCACACATGTATATATTTTAATATTTATTTTTACTGATTTTTTTAGCGTCTAACGAAACATCGCGCGAAGCACCGAAGAAAAAGTTGACTATGTCCTTTGAGGAATATAAGAATCTGTCAAATATGTTGGTTCTTTATATGAGAAGCGAGGAAAGTCGTGCTGAGAGCGAAGGTACTTTTATTATTATATTGACAATAGAAAAAAGTAACGCTGTCATTTTTTTTATCATATATCCGTCTGTTTAATTAATATATTTTTTTTATAGACGATAATAAGGGTGGCATACGGAAATCCGAATTAATCGCATGGTATCTTGATCAAATACAAGATCAATTAGATTCAGAGGAAGAGTTGCTAGAGCGGAAAAACTTTATTGAAAAGATCATTGATAGACTAACGTACCATGTATGTATTTATATTCTCTATATTTTATGGCACTTTTGCATTTTATAATAATTTATTGCACAATTTTACTTTTTAGGATCAAATTATAATACCTTTAACAACGACCAGCTTAAGAAGCAAAGATACAGAAGACGAAGAGAAGGATCCTTTACTCGTTGTTCATCCCAATTATGTCATGGATATTTAATTTTAAGTGTCGGAGTGCCTTGAGATGAGAAAGCGGTTTATTTCATAAAGAGTAACGTTTTTAGAAATATTTTACTTTAATGTATTATAATGGCATATTTTTTTAACCTGAATTCTGTAAATGTTATAAACTTTACGGAATTGTTTTCAACTCCTGACGATGATAAAAAAAAACACATTTTTATAGCATTGCTGCAAAGCGTTTATTCATTCCTTACAATCCACTAAGTGCCTCAACATGGGGGGGTTTAAACAACTTGTTTGCTATGACCTCACGTATTTAACATTGCTCATACATGAAATAAATGAATAAATCAATCTGATTGTGACATGTCGAGATATGAGGAATTATTCTTGTGAACCAAAATAGGCCTATATTTTCAGTAGTCTATTTTTTATTCTTTTAAGAGTAAGAATTATATAATGAATGTTATTTGTTTAATATTGTTAAACATATACTATTTATGGATCATAGATATCTTAAAAAATACAGCGTAATCTCGGCTTGTACTTATTTCAAGAATACGCTAATTAACATGGCGTAAATCATGATAATTAGCGCACCATAGCAAGTCATGGTGCGTCAATTAACATGCACATTTTAATGCACCTGTTAGAAAGTGAAACCATCTGTTCTAGATCGAATGATGAGGACGACAATAGCGTCAGTCGTTTCAGTAGGTCTGAATCGGTTTAACTGTATCTACGATGTCAAAAGAAATATTTGTAAACGCTTAAATCTAGTTTAAATAAGAATACTGTGATTTTACATTTCAAAAGTCACATGTTTATTTTAAAGACGTTTTCGGTTAAGGAAAATTCTTAAATTAGCTTCAAATCTTTTGTTATGCGATTCACAAATTCAAATAATTTGTATTGACGTTTAATTATTTATAGAGCTTAACGCGCATACATAACCGGTAGACTGTACATTTATCAGTGTTTGCAGTTTTAATGCGATGGGGATATAACACGTGCTTTTATTGCTGTTTAAATGTACACAAAGTATGCTACAAATGTGTTAACTGCTGTATGGTGGGAGTGCTCGATGCAGTAATTAAGAGCGTAACTTCTCCATACGATTTTAATATTATTTGTCGATGCGCAATGTCTGCGAAGGAGCTACCGATAGCAGAAGTGCGACAAGTAAGCGTTACTTGAAATTTAATATTATATTTGAGTGCAGTGAAGTGCGAAATTACCGATGATGTAATTCCATAATAGTCTCCTAGATTGTCATAGATCTCACCTGATAATTTCTGTTTGTGCTCAGTGATGTGGCTTCTGCAGTCATACGGAAAGTAGCGAAATATCACTTGATCACCTTCAACGAGAACATAATTTTATATTTCGTTCACAATTTAGTTTATTTGTTTTTGATGTAAAGTAACTCCTTGCCTAAGTGAAAACTTGTCCGTATTTAAATGTCTAACGAATCGTGTTTTTTTAGTTGCACTCCGATAATCGGAATTCAAAATGGAATTTCGTAGTGGAAAAGAAGTATATCACATTGTTCTTTATTAAAGTTTCTTTAAAGAAAATTTATTTTTATTGAAAATATGAAAAAAATGTTTGTGTCTATGAAAAGTATATGAAAATAAATCCAACAGGAAAAAACATGGGTAGCGTTCGTAGGCGACTTTGCGATTTTGAAAGACTTCTTTGCGCAGAAGACACAGCGAGTTTGGCACGCGGTGCAATTACTTGATTCTTTTCTGCGTGGATTTGGACAGGTGAGTGATAAAATCTGATGTATTGATCAAATTATCAAAAAGATAAAAAGATTTTTTTTTATAAATGTTAATTATATACAATAACATGAATACAATAATTAAAATGACGGCAATAAAATACAAATAATAAAGTACAATGTAAAATTATATTGGATCAAGAAGTAATAGCGTCTCGTATCAAATGCAAAAATTTTTTACTTACGTTTTTTACAACATTTTTATGAGAAAACCATCCAAACAATAATTATTTTATATTTCTTATCGGAGGAAAATTTAATAAGATTTCATCATTAAATAATTATTAACATTAATTAATGTAATTTTAAATAACTATTCAGTAAATGTAAACTAAAAATATAAACAAAAAATGTCCATGGACATCCCAATGAGATATGGATATAAATGTCCATAGGATATCCTGTGCTGTCTGGGATGATTTGATATGATATCGCGATTCGCGTAATTTGTAGTCTTTAAAAGAAAAGAGATAATTTATATATTTTCATCATGAACGTTTTGTGTAAAATATAGTTTCTGGAATAACGCACAAAGAAAATCCTTTGTAATCTTTATTAATAAAAGAACAAAAAAATTATATTACTTTTACATAAAGTTACTTTATTATTTCATTATTATTGACCGTCAGACGCATCAATGAAAATCACAAATCAAGACGCAAGTTTTTTTTTAATTTTCATCCAGATTTGCTTTATTAAAACGATAAATTTCCTAAAAAACGTGATAAAATAAATAATAAAAATTTTATTTATCTTATTTGCGATTTACAGATATTGTAAATAGAATAATATTGCAAAGCGACTTGAAAAGCAAAAATCTATACGCGTATACGCCCATCCGGTAGGTTAAAGAATGTTATATGAAAGTCTAAAGAATGTTACACGAAGGGCATCTTATGAAAGTAGATCATTCTACATGATGAAAAGAATCCGGTATTTGTTACAGCAGTGTATAAGATCGCGTTGCCTCTTTTTCACGGGGCCCGTAATGCGCCACACCGGAATATCGTCGCACGTATCTTCAATTAACGTCGATTGGCTTTAATTAACGTTGCAGATCGTTTTTGCGAATAATCCTCTCAGCGGGCTGCTGATAATAGTTACCTTGGCTGCGGTAACGCCAGGTACATTGGCGTTCTCTGCGGCCACCGCCGGCCTTGGCCTCTTACTGTCCGTGGTATGTTTAATTTATTATATTAGCCACGGTGTCAAGCGGTCGCTGTTTCTTGGCAAAAAGATGCGATACACCCGCACTTTTTGCCGCATTGCGTTCAAGAGAGAGAGAGAGAGAGAGAGAGAGAGAGAAAGAGAGACGAACAGCATCTCGTTTCCTATTCATACGCGACGATGCGTCGTGAACGCGAATGTGCTCGCCTATCATCTCTTTTTCATCTCTTTCGGACCTAATGGACCGTTTGCGTGCACACGGGGAAAAATCACTGCAATGCGGCACCGCTTCTCGCCCTGGCCGCGGAGCGAGCGACCCGCGAGGAGGACTCCGCGCGGGCGGCGCGCGGAATTCTCGCTGTGCAATCTTAATGCGACTTAAGGACCCCGCTCCCGTTTTTTTGCAGCTCATGCGCGAACCCGACTTTATCGTGGAAAACGGATTAAGCGTTTACAATCCCCTGCTGGTCGGAGCGGTGTCGTACGGTCTGATACCACAGATTTACGGAGCTGGCTTCGACACCCTAAGCTGCTTGCTTGTGCTCCTGGCGACGATACTCAGGTATATCTCCGATTATTTCGTTTCTCCACGTGGAGTGTATTTTGGGATGTTTAAAATATTATGCGACTAAAATAAACCGTAAACACGACATTTCAATTGTCGTAAATTATATGTATATATATATATCGATTAAACGAACTCAAAGTTACGGTAGCGACGTGAAAATGATAAACGATAAATACGCTTCTGGGAATAATATTCAGATGAACACGTATGTACATAACGCCGGTATATGAATATGCGTGTAAAATAATTCTGCGTATAAACAACAAATTATTTATTTATAAATAACATCTTGATGGCGATATTGGCATTTAATTAAGCCAAAATATACGCAAATTAATGTAAATTGATGTTGACGATTATATTGTCAGAGGGAATACCCCAGTTTTTGATTACATTGACGCGTAGCTGCACGCATAATAATGCCTTAAGCTCAGAACTTTATGAATTTATAGCATTGCTGCAGTTAATGCGTTATGAGTTTAGACAACTCGAGGCTGAACAAGGCTTATAGAAACTAAACGTGAAAGGCATATCGTGACAGTCTCTCACGTTTGAGAGATACGAGAAAGATATCTGGAATAATTTGCGACGGTAGAGAGAGAGAGATAGAGAGAAAGAGAGAGATTATGCGGCAAACCGGATTATCAGAGTTAGAGCCGGGAGTTCACTCGTCACCCACTGCTCGTGGCTGAGCGGGTAACGTGTTACATACGCAAATTTCAACAGCTCCTGGTTAATGTTTTCCAGTGTTTATCTCTCGCGGTCCCTGAGAAGCGATAAATTCTCCTGCACAACGTGGCCATTTAACTTGGTGGAGTTTGCGTTGATTTTCATCCTCTCAACGCAGAATGGCGCGGCTACGGTAGCCCAATCTGCGGGACCTATGTTTGAAATGGTAAATCAGTTTTACATATGTAATATTCTCGATGATTAGTCATACACATTATTACATAGAATTAGCACATTTTAATGAAAATTACTGTTATTAAAGAAATGCAATAAATTTATATAGAACAAGTAAATTTGAAATATTACAATTTTGCAAATTATCAGTGAAGACTGATGGCTCTCTGCCCGAATAAGTTAAAGTTAATAATAACCCTGCTTAAAAGATCCGATAGGTAACGATAGAAATAGAATTAAACTTTATTGAAATGTTATCTAATTTTATAGTAAAGTTATTTCTATTGGACCCACATTTGAGCTACTTATAAAGAAGTTATCTATTTCTATCGTTTCTTAATCTTACTTATGTCCATTTCTACCAAGGTAAATTAACTTTAATCCAGGTTTAATTTTACTTTATATATTTTTCTAGTTTTAAGAATTAGAAAAAGATAATAAATAAATAAAACCGAGATTAAAATTAACCTACATCGGTAGAAATGGACATTAATTATTTTACTTAAACATTAAATACGCACTTAAATACAAATTTGAACGTCTATGTTTTTTTTATGTAACTTATCGAGTTATCTAATCCATAGCAAACTGAAAATTATAATTTGCTACAAATTTTATTATATTTGTAAGAGATATTAAAATTATTTATACATAAAAGACATAAAAAATCTCTAAAATTAAAATATTACATAATAAATCATACACTGACATAAACAGACATAAACTGAAAACATTGTACGATAATATCAATTTTGACTAAATATGGTCAAAGATAAACAGTACTTAAAAATTACTTTTGAATTATATATACTAAATAGAGTAAAAAAAGATATCTGATATTTATGATCCAAAAGTACGATAGAATTGTATAGGTTTCTTCTTATATATCTAATTCTATCGGATCTTTTAAACAGAGAAAACTTATTTAATAATAATCTTTCTAAATATACATGTATAATGTATGCATATAATTGAATGAGAAGAAGAAAGAGAGAAAAATGCAAGGCTTATGAAATATGCCGCAAGGACATTTTATTTGACAAATTCTACGCTCGTTTGCAGCAACAGGAAACGAGCGATTGAGACGAAATCACAATTTTAGAGTGTCGTTCCCGAACGCGAGTAAATTTGATGAGAATAGAGCGGAGGCTTTGGCGCGGAATAAAATTCGCTTGGAAAAGCGCTCTCAGTATTCAGACCATACATATTTGACGTGCCTTCACGAGGGAGAATGCTATCCTCCGCGCGGGTCGGGAGCATGGCTTTTCTCCGTATTGATCAAACTCCAGCACGAACAACTCCGTCGACGCGATAACTTACCCGCACACTCGGCTCGGATTTATTTCACCCTAACTAGTCGCCGGTTGTTTGTTTCAGTTAAATATTGGGCAAGTTCTCTCTCTCTTCCCCGCGCAGTTTCTCTTTTTCACGGAGAGCTGCAGTTTCCCGCGGTTAGCAAATAGCTCTACAACAGTGGAATATTTGAAAATATTGCTCAGTTGGGGGGTGGCTCTACCCCTTCACGCGTATGTAAATATATTAGCTTCTCTATTACGCGTCGCGCGCCATTATTTCGGCCTGTCCGCCTGCATCCTCCGCGATAACGCGAAAAAAAAATTAACTTTGGCACTCCCGTGTACCTAATTAAACTTTACGACGCTCATTACGCGAAACGACTAGTCCAATCGTAAATTGGGAAATTCGCGAAAATCGCAGGTGCGCGGGAAAAAAAGGTGTATTCTCTTTCGTCTTCTTACCTGCATGCGGGAAGGTGAAAAGTTTTCTTCCTCGCGTTACAAAAATTTACGGCCGAACTCGAGATGCGCGTGGCGGAACATAAATTACTTCGCCTTCGTGAAGCATGTTTCATCATAAAATAGTTTGAGCCCTCCTCTAGCCTCCTCGCGCCGAGTGACTGCCGCGCGCGCATTTCTCTATCATGCGCGGGTTATTGTGCAAGACTCTCTCATTGTTTTCAGCACAATGCAACAAGTGAGACGACGACGACGACGACGACAGCGGACGGCGGCGCCGGTTTTCACGGGCTGCAGAATACGACCGGCGCTTACATCGACTGGGGAATGGTAGAGAGTTTACTCATGTTCCACTTTTTGAAACTTTATATTCTTGGCCTCGCATGTATATATTAGCGTCTCGGGGTGGGTTCTCAGGAAGTGCCACGAGGCTTCATTAGTTACACAGTTTCGTACTCGCGGCACTCGCGATTACTTTTCCAATTGCAAATACGCTTACGCGTTATAGTAAAGTCTTGTTACACAAGGCGTTTCAACAAAACTTTTTGCGAACTTCATGCAAATATAATTTTTATCGTTTACGTTTCGCTACACTGAGTTCTCCATGTACCTATATTGATGATATATAGTTACTAGATAAAGAAGGTACTTGTAAATTTAGATTTATCGAATATTGTAATAAAATATTGAAAGATATTTGTTGCTGCAGAATCTCTTTTCAGCTATTCGGAATAATCATGCGTTTACGAAACGTATATAAAAGTAAAATGCAAATAAATATATATTTGTATATTCGTGTATCTTGTGTTGCTTGAGGGAAATGTTGCAAAAGATATATTAAATGGAGATAGCAGTCTATTTGCTCGTGTTCAAAGTTAAATCGTGTTTCAGGTTGTACGAGGCAGCGTTGTCTCCGCGTCACAGCTGTTCGGGGTCGATAACGTAATCGTTGGATCCGTCATGTACCTGGCAATGCTAATATACTCGCCCGTGTCAACCGCGTTTTCGTATTTCGGTGCCCTTTGCGGAACATTCGCAGGTATTTACATAATTTTTATATTTATTATTTATTACACACAAAAAAAGAGAAAAGACTGATGGAAGGAACTGCGAGAGAAGAAACGAGGGAATCGTGTTGATCTTGCTGCACAATTAAAGTCTATGTTTAATTAATGGGGCATGCAGAGTGATTAAGATTCGCATCAATTCTCTCGCGTGGGCTGAAAAGGCACGAGCATTCGTTTCGAGATAAAAGCGTGAAGAGCATAAATTATCGTCGTTGTAAATTTTCCGTTTACAGGCCTGGAGCTCGGAGCGGACTGCCGCAGAGCCTACAGCGGGATGTGGGGATACAATAGTCTCTTGACCGGGGCCGCTCTGGGAGGGAATCTGCTGGTGCTGAACGGTCAAACGGCCGTCGCCGCTGTCATGGCGATTATTTACACTTCGCTCCTGCAGTACGCCATAGAATCGATATTTGCAAAAGTACGACCGAAGCCTCGCTCCTTTCTTCTACCCGATTAATCCGCACTGTCTCGCTCTCTCTCTCTCTCTCTCTCTCTCTCTCTCTTCCTTTCTCGCGCGCGCGCGGACTTTTAACATTTTATTAATATTTCAGGCGCAGCTACCCGTGCTGACGCTGCCGTTCGTGATAGCGACCTCGTTGTTTCTAAAACTGAGCGACGGCAAGGAGGATCCAACGTTTCCGTGGCCCGTATCGATTACTTTCCCCGAGAAACAACGTCATTATTATGTCGCCCGTCGCGCGGCACTTCGAGAGGTGCGTCACTCCCAATTTCATAGGGCACACAACTCGCGTGCAGGGCCTCTTTCCTAATTTTCCTAGACCCTTAGACGTAAAATTTTATATTCGCGACGATAGAAGCCGGGATAAACGGCGTACTTTGTCATCGCGGCTCATATCGAATTCCGTCCTGCCCCAACCTTGATTTGTGGCTGAAACTTTTCCCGCGATAAGGATGACTCTCAGGACCCATCTAAACCACGCCCTACAAGAAGGACGGAAATTGATTTCCGTGCCCTACTCTCAGCTTGCACGTGGGTCGAATTGTCTATACCCGACAAATTATTGGCAAAGAAAAAAAAGAAATAGAATTATCGATGCTCGAATCGTGATTATCATTAACGATCCAATTAAAAAGCTGGAAGAGGCAAATTAAATAATTTATTGCTGAATTAAATATACGGGCGAAATGATATAATTATTATCTTTTTATAACAAGCGATGTAAAATTAGATTGAATGTGTATATGTGAATTTATATAAAATGTGTCACATAAAATGCAAATTGTGCAAATTGTTGCAGGAAGATGCTGTGGAAGAACTTGAGCTTGACACCGCGAACGAAAGGAGGCCAGTCCCGTCAGATAATTAATGACTTATCTCTTCCCCCCCCCTCCCTCTCTCTCTCTCTAAGATAGATAATTACAATTTAGTTTTACGTATAACAGTAGGCGATAATTTCGAAGATTTTTCGCATCTATTTAAAATAATCTCTTTTTCTCTCCTATCGCTTTTAAATATTTATACAAATGCGCATTTATGCTTGACTAACAATTGATCAGTTAGCTTGATTGAGCTCTCTGTGTGCTTCTGACAGTGGCCTTCGATTTAAGTAATGTCAATCCAATAATCGAGTTTACTATCTGTACCTTCTCGAAGAAGAAAAGGAATCATCCTTTCCACCGATTCGTTCACGCGGAATAAATAGCTATTCTTGCGAAACTTACGAACGTACGCGTCCTTCAAGCATCAGTGAACAGCTAACAGAAATTAAATTTGTATTATGCAGATGGAAAAAAATAGCTCTCTAGAGAGATAAATGTAACTACTCTATTTGTATGCTGTTAATTCTTTATAGGCTAGCAAAAGAAATAACATATATTAAAATTTTCTAAAAGTACGAGATGAAAAATTCACAAAACCAGATTAATATATAAAAAAGTATACATTGTGTTTGCTGTTAAAAATTCAAAAAAATGCAATTGATATATAGAAAATGTATAGAAAATTATACATTGTGTTGACTGTAAAAAATTCAAAAGCTAAGTTAATTATAAAAAATGCAATATGTAATATTAATTTGCTAGAACTTTGAATTCCATTTTAAAGGAAAAAAGAATCTAATTTTTTAAGCCACGCACGTACGCTCTCCTTTCCGTATGCGGTTTGCGCTAACGTTCTCAGGAACGTTTCCGATTCCACCAAGATTCTTCGCCGCGTTTTCAGATAATGGCGTACGTGCTAATCGTCTTATCTCGCGTGGGCGATCCGTGACACGGGAGGGAAGATGATGCATGAAGGCTTCTTCTAATGGAAGGGGACTTTTTTCGGCGGGACGCCTTTATTGAGCCAGAAGCTACAGGTCGATCGATAAAATTTATTTCCACGCTTCGGCTGTGCGGGGAGTTATAAAATTCGATCGCCTTTTCGAAGGCGAAATTGCAGGGGAGCCACACGGAGCTCAATCGCTTATCGCTACCGGATTTCGATTCTTGGATTTCGATTCTCGCATCCGCGCGACGGCCGAAAAATATGCCGCGAAATGTGAGGCAAACAAAATTCCGCGCGTGAGATAAAAGCAACCCGACTGGCGCTCTTCCAAAGCGAAAAAATGGATGGTGACAAGCATTCTGCGAAAGAAATTTGTCTCGAGGTCAGCTCGAGGATCTCTCTCGACGCCGGGCGACCTAATCAAACTAGCAAGAGAGAGAGAGAGAGAGAGAGAGAGAGAGAGAGAGAGAGAGACAGAGAGAGAGAAAGAGAGAGAGAGAGAGCCTTACTGTTGGCGCGGGGACGACTGCCACAATTCGCCCTCGTTCCTCAAGAAAGAGGAACTAATGAAGAAAAGTGGAGCGAGATTTCTGGTCTTCCGCCCCTTGCGATCGTTACTCCTAACGCGATATCGTTACTTCGGCATCATCGTTTCAGCTTTAATTTGCGGTTTGATATTCGAGATTTATTCAATCTCGGGTTATTAGTGTTAAGAATATACGACATACGTTACGACGTTGTTAAAATGAGAGAATTTTACCTTCGCCTGGTATACAGCGAGTATCACGATCTATCTTTATAACGTAACCCGTAACTGCGCTGTTGCAGCAAGTAATAAAATGATTTATACCTCGATAAGCCTGGTTTAACACAGGGCCCAGATGCCTCCGCAAAGTCGGGTTTTCCTCTACGAAAACTGCGTAACGGACAGTTTCACATGGATAATTATACGACGGTACGTTGAAATTAATGCCGGTAATTTGCGGTTCGCCGACACGCAGTTTGTCATTTTGGGGAGTAATTAAAGGCCAATCATTTCAATTTGGCAACATCAACTCATTCACTAATAGTAGGGCAGTGAGTTACGCTATACACATTGATAATTAAACTGCAAATTAAAGTTTAACTAAATTATAAAATTTATTTGAAATTAAATTAATATTATTAATGTATGTATGTATAATCTCTCTCTGTATTATTGAAATGCAATATCCGAAAGGTTTTGCAGTACTTGAGAGCTTTTTTTATACTGTAAAAGCTATATCGATTCTTGGGATATTTTAAGAGCCGCCATCCTTTTTAGTTCAGCTTTGAATATTTCTAATCTGGAGAGAGAAAGAGAGAGAGAGAGAGAGAGAGAGAGAGAGACTGCGCAATTTATGGAGCGTGTGATATGCGTCTTCTCGTCAGATTAATTAGCACACAAACCTACATTTCGAAGTCGCTGAAACTGGCGTGCTCGCGTGCGGAATAAAAAGCGCGTGCGGGTAAGGCAAAGCAAAAGGACTTTAAAGGATAAACATCTCGGTTCGTTGGCACCCTTAGAGGTCCAGCTCTTCCGCGGCCGGGAGAAAGGGAGAGAGAAGGGTCGAGAGTCCGTCGGCGGTGACGACGGCGCCGACGTCGGTTGGTTGCTTGGTGGTGGTAGCGCGCGGCGTTGTCAGGAAGGGGTAGGGCTGAACGCATCCCTGCCAGATCGGCTACCTGCCCGCCGCCGCCGCCGCCGCCGCCGCCGCCGCCGCCAACCCTGTCCGTTCCGCGACGCTACCCCAGTACTCGGGCGATCGCTAGCACCCGCGCACGCGACGTCTCCCTCCGTGTCGGGGGTAAGCGCGACCACCACCGTGTGTCCGCGCGCCGTTATGTATGCATATGTGTGCGTGCGTGCTCGCTGAGGGTGTGCTGCCGATTGCAGTGGCAGAGCGCGAGCAACGTGGTGTTGCGGCCGCGGCAGCGTGACGTGCAGCCACCCCGCGTGGCACGCTAATAGCTCGATCAACCCTCGCGGCCCGAGGCCGCGCGCGCGAGGGTGCACGGGGGGTGCCGAGGGAGAAGCGTCACGATCTGCCGCATTAGGCGCACGAGAGGAGCTAGCCGCGCGGACCCTCTCCGGTCAGCATCCCGTTGAGGCAGGAGTAATGTAGCGTCGCATCCAGTAAATGTGTACGGAAGAAGGAATCGCGAGTAGTGAGTAGTATTACACGAACGAGCATTGTCTCAGGACGGCAAGTAGTTAGTGTTTGTGTGCGACAACAAGTCACTTAAAAGTTCGCTTGAAAAGAGATCTGTTACAGTCGCTTCAGTTTCTGTCGCTTTTTCCCTTTTCCCTGTTTGTTGCAGATGCATCTCTCTCTCGACTTCAATGGAATGTGCTCTTTTTTTTTTACGAGAAAAAAGAATTTTAACGTTAAAACTCGCCATCATGGTATTCTCATTGCACAGTCCAAGACTGTCCCGCTCTCTTTCCATTTGTATCTTTCTCCCCGCTTTGACTGTAATGTGATACTTTCTCGTAAATATACTCCCAAAAAGTTCTCTTGCAAGAAGGAGTATTTCAAGAGAAAGAAACGACGCATTTGTGCTCGCGACATCTCATTTTTCTGAAGCTCTATATCATGTTCTTGTCGCTCCACGTTCGGCCACCCTCTCTCGTGTACATTTTGTTTCGGCGCCCCTTCCCTCACGCGATATCATGTGTACCTTCGAGATAGCTACATCTCGCCCCTTATTCTCTGGAGGGACGCCAAAAACGATTCGTCGGCGAGGTGTTTGGGGGTCCGAGCGGAAGAAGGATCGCTTGGAAAAATTGGGGGCGACGCGAGCAGATTGGACGCTACGTCATGGTGAATAAATTAGGGCATCTCCAACCGATGTTTCGGAGATAGCCGAGGTAGTTTAGTTTGTTAAGCTCGGGTCCGCGCTGTCGCACCTTCGCGTATTCGCAGATCGGGCTCGCGATACGACGGGAATCGCGGGATCATCGTCAGATGGCTCAAAGCGCGGGAAAGTCCCCCATGTTTATAGATCAGCATTCTCCGGTATATAATCCACGTAGAGTATCGGGTGGCTTTATGGTCAATCGGTTGCCAAAGCCTATTGATGTGTATCGGTTGCGCTAGTCGACCAAGTTCTTCAGGTGGCTTTGACGCTCTAGAGGCTAGAGCGATGATGCTTGCCAACGAGCCACTTCACTCGCTCCATCCGTTTACCGCTTTTTATTAAAAGAGGAATTTCACCCTTCTCTCACCGCATTTAAATTAGAAGGAGAGTCCTCTAAAGAATATTTTTCCCTCGATTTTGTTAAAATTGAAAGTGTAATACAGATAAAAGGTTTTATAAATTTATAAAGTTATATTTAAGGACGTTTTATTAGATAATAATTTGTATTTGTCGCCAAAACGCCGTGGTATCAAAATTTTGATGCTCGTACGTAATATCTTCTTAAACCCGTAATGTATATTAAATCCAATTCAATCACGTTGTTAGGGTAATCTTTCGAAATGGGTCGATAAATCGGATTTTGGTTATTTATCGGTCGTTAAAAACATTCCTGGAACGCTCCTCGACAATATCCAGAGAATATTTAGTGCCGACGTTGTTCAAGGCTATTCAGGGTGTACTAGAATCTAAAAATTATAACAGTTCGATCGTGCGGTAACGTCAATACAGCTAATAATTTTTAATTCTCCTGCTCTCTCTCTCTCTCTCTCTCTCTCTCTCTCTTTTTCTCTCTCTTTTCTCTCTCAGAATTCAAAAGTTTCGGAATTTATTTCAGAATTCACCGATCGGAATCCGGACAATTTCGATTTAACAATAAACGAGTTATATCCCTTAAAATCTCGTCATTCAGAAATTTCGGCGTTGAATATTTCCCAATTTTGATTGGGACGATTTCCTCTCGCGATTCCCTCGTTCACACCCGCATTCTAGCGTTTCGAGCATGTGGCCGCGTGTGTTTCGATCGTCCTTCGCATTGCGTCGCACGTAGGAACGGGGTCGTTAGCTACGTGGGCAGTCGGAATGGGTCGTGGGAAGTTGCTGAAGCGGAAACCGAGAGCGGAAATCGCCGGCGCGATTCTGATTTCGTTTCGAGAGGGACTGGTCGATCTATCACTGTTGTCGCTTTCGATTGCCGCTTAACGGCAATGTCTCGAGATGTAGATCAAGAGATATTTCGGTAATCGCGCCTTGCACGACTTTGTATTTGCGAAAACACGCGATAATATATCTATCTGATGGGGTTGTGCCATTGTACGATATTCAAGTGCGTATTTTTGGTGAGTTAAAGGGTTCGGAGGACTTCGAGTTTTTCGAGGAGAGCCGAGAGGAAGAAAGAGCTCATCGGACGTCGCGGCCGATTGTGCTGAAAATCGATGGACGATTGAAGAGGATTATCTTTCGCATCAAAACTGTATCCACTGGAGAGATACAGACGACAGAAACGGACGCTATAAGATCTCGCGATGAGAGATTAAAAGAGAGATCGTATAAAGCTGCACCGGCAAGCGATATCGGGTTTTTCGGACTGCTTTCGACATCCCGCGCGTGGTACATCTGGCGCGAAATCAGTGTGGCTCCGATTAATCATCCCCGTAAAGCGGACGCACTCGTGGAAGAGATACTCGCGTATGATGGAAACGCGAGCGCCGCTGGCGGAGCCGCTGGAAGAAATTTACGGCAACCGCGGGGAATCATTTGTCTCGTCGGGCACGGCGAATCATCTGATATTCGCTATCAGATAATGCACGGCCATCGCCGATAATGGAGCGCGAATCCGGCTAAGACTCGCGCCGCGAAGCTGACCGTTACAGCCGAGGACGGTACGCCGAACATCGATTGGCTCCGGGCGACAGAGCGTGTCCAGGCCGCTTCCTGACGAGGCGAGCACGCCCGTGCGAGCTGATCGGGCGTGCGGTTACATCTTCTTCAGTGAACCGCCGCGATTCTGCATCCGCGGCGGCGGGGCGGCGGCGACGAGAAGCGCGAACAAGTTGGAATGAATGAAGGATCGTCAATGTTTTATCCTTCTCGCCGATCGCGTCGGTAGAGCAATTAGTGGGAAGCGAGCAGGATCGAGTGAGATACTGCCGGTGAGATGCTTGCGCGAGTATCGAGACACTTACTTAAATTGCGCACGTCATTTGGTACGCGAGGGAAATAGAAACGGGCGTTTCTCCCGCTCCCGTTTTTCGACTCGGTGAAGAAAGATATTTCCCCTCACACGGCCATCCGTGCAAGAAGCACTGGCTGCTAATGCGGCTGTATTGGAACGACGGTGATTACCAGCTTATTTTATGCGGCTTGTAGCTGTTACCGTTCCCAGGGAAGAAGATCGTTAGCAGCGTCGCCCGGAAATCCTGCGGAAGATTAATGAACGGTACAGCCAGCGGAACAACGTTGTCGCGGCGATAGTGACCGATAAGGAATCGCGACCGAGGATAAGCAATTACGTCGTCGCGGGCTCTCCTCACTTTCTCCCCCTCCGTCTCCGGTCCGGCGAACGCGGTGACACCGGGCGATCGGCTTGATGTTGTCGCGCTTCCTGCAGGAGCTGTCGTCAGCGGACAATCGGAGCGCCGTCGCGGCGAAACGGAAGGAAGAGGGCTTGTGATCGTTCCGGCAGCGGGCCGATCGTTCGGGCCGCGCCACAACCGATCGCGGTAGCGCGACGGCGATCGCCACGATCGCCGCCGATGGGGGCGCGGGCGATGTGACGGCGGCGGCGGCGAAGGCGTCGGGCGAAGAGATGACGGTGACGGTGACGCCGTCGACTTCCGACGTCGCCGACAAGGCGGTGTCGACGGACGATGGCGGCAGCGGCGGCATGGAGGTGGCGCGTCTCGAGGCCGTCCTCGCCGCCCTGGTGGAAACGAAGGTGGAGGCGATGAAGGCATCGTCGACGCTCAGCCGACGTTCCGGCAGCGCGCCCGCCAGTCCGCGTCGACCTAGATTGACCTCGACCTCGACGGCCTCCTCCTCATTGAACCATCACCACCACCATCACCACCATCATCATCACCATCATTCGCAGCAGCAGCAGCAGCAGCAGCAACAGCAGCAGCAGCAGCAGCAGCAGCACAATAAGAAGAAGGGCCAGCATCATCAGCAGCATCACCACCATCGTCGCAAACGTCACGACTCCGCGCCATGCGGGAGTGATTACCTCAACAACGCGGCGGATCATTCTCAGCACAAATTATCTAACGGTGAGTTGTTATTTTATAGGTGCACGGAACGATTTTGCTAAAAAATTTAAAAATTTTGCTTACAGATCTGAAAATAATTTTGTTGGAAACCCAAACTAGTGGTTAGAATATCAAAACGTTTTACAGCTCATTATTTTTGAGTTTCTAACAAAATTATTTTGCTAAACCAATAAAATTATTATAAATTAGATCTCTGTAATCTAGCAAAATTTTTAAACTTTTTAACAAAATCTTTTCGTTCTTTCCGTGCGATAATATAATTGGCGTGAATTTTAGTTCAGATTTCTTCAATTTTACTCTTTAAATCTAAATCAGTGGAAAATCATTGATTGAATCAGTAACTTTTCCACTGATTCAGCATCGCTAATGAATAAATGAAACAGCTGAGCCGAATCCGCTGTGTAATTAACACAGAGCAAAAAGAACAGCGAAGTTCACTGATTTATCAGACATTATAGCATTATTCACTTATTTATTAGTGATTTCTAGAGAGACAATAAAGTTAAATTTCACTGATCAGTTTCACTGACCAGTGACATACTTGGGACTGATGCATTCAATGAATAACCATTGATAATCAGTAGCTGTCCATTGATACAGATTTAAAGAGATAATAAAACCTTATGAAATAAGGTTCGCGCGAGTCTGAATAAAAAATTAAATTATAAAGAGAGACATTTATACGGTGGAATATAGATATATTATAATAAATAAATATGATACACAGAGTTTATCATGGAGCGTAAAAATAACGAAAATATTCACAGCGTTAAATAGATGAATAGATACTGATGAAGGCTGAGGCGACATTCGCTAATCATGCTCTTTTCGTTCGCCAGGAAGGGGACGGAGAAGAGCCTCCGAAAGTCCTCGAAGCCCTCGAAAGAAGCGCAGGCATTCGAGGAGCCCAAATGTTCTTCAAGGCGTCGTCCAAGACGTTCACGCCGGCCTCGATTCGCGCTTCGAGCTGCTGGGCATTGACGGCGACCAAGACGTGGCCCTAATAAATTTCGAAAGGGCTAAAGAAGTCCTCGGCGACTCCTGCGAATATCCGCGGCTGCACCGAAGTGCCTGCTACTTTTCTCAAAGCGCAGCTCAATTGTGAGTACTTTAAATACCGCGCGGCAATTTGAACATGCGAACAATAACAACGTCGGCGGGGATAAACTTTTAATGGATTTCGCGGAAGAGAGTAAGACTTTTCCTGGAATCAAGTCACATTATCGATATTTTCTCAACGCCGCGCCGCGGGAATTAGGACGTCGCGACAAAAACGCCTTCGTCTTAGGAACAAATCGACTTAAAATTCCATCGGAACTGCCTTATCCTCTCTCTCTCTCTCGTGGAAATTCGGAGCGTCTTAGGAAATCTTCGCGTGTACTTTGGCATAGTTTCCGCATTTACGGTAAGTTGCGGTCCTCCGGCTTTGCGTCGCGTCGCGTCACAGCATAGCGAGTCTCTCCGCAAAATTCCGCTTGCTGTCTCTTCTCGTTCACGAGGGGGGTTTTGCCGAGAGCGCTGCCGCGACTCTCGTCCTTCTTCCATATTCGATCGGCCGACCACGAGAAGAGAGAGGAGAAAGACACGGTTTCGGCATGAGCCAGCACACCCGGTGGAACTGGGTCAGCAGCGACGGTGGTGCGTGGTTGCGCGCCTCCGTCACATGCCGCTCTCGGCAAATACGGTTTGGCGGCTGAGCCACCTGGGCGACAAAGGACGAGCACACAGTGTAATGAAACTGTGAAGATAGCCGGCGGCGATTAGCGATCACGAAGAGGTGTCAGCCCATCATCGTCTCGCGTCCTTTCTTTCTTTTTCTTTTTTTTTTAATCTGGCGAAACGATTTCTAAAATTACACAGAAGGAGCATTTGGCAACTTTTAAGTACGCGATGTCAAAAGAAATCTCTTATGACTGCTCCATATTAATCAATTCACCGCCACTGAAATCTCGTGGTTTATTACATAATTTAGTGGTTTACTTTTGGAGATAATTTTAATTAATAAATTCTCGGAAGTACACATTTTAAAAAAAATACATTTAATTAATCGGGTATGATAATGCAACGCTTTAGAAATTAATATAAATTACAATAATTTGTTATATAATATACATTGCAAAATAATTTATGTAAAAAATAAAATAGCGATTTATTTTTTAAAATAATTTTAATTAATAAATTCCCGAAAGTAAACATTTTTTTGAAAGTACATTTAATTAATCGGATATGATAATGCAATGATTTAGAAATTAATATAAAGTACAATAATAATAATAATTTATTAAAATGTATATAATATAATTTACAAAATAATTTGTGTAAAAATAAAATATCTTTTTAATTTTAATGTAAATTGCATACATTAAATTTATATTTGTTTATGCCGTTTGGTTTAAATGTAACGTAATAACAAGGGCGCCCTAGATACATCGTGCAAGATCGCGGGATAACATATCTTGACAGATATCAAATAACTGTCCGATACGTCGTGGAGGCAATATTAATTGAAATCTTTTTTTTTTCCGCGTGAGAAAAATAGCTGCCAGAGCGACTGATTCAACATCGACGTTTACTACTTGATACGGTCTTCCTCGACGCGGTTAAATCTACTCAATATATATCAATTTACTTTTATCTCTTTATCGAATAACTCCTCTTAATTGAATATCCCGTCACCAGAGTAGGTATAGAGACGTCTATTTATAAGCTTTTCGCGTTTCTCCTGATACGCGTTATTAATAGGTGAACTTTGGATATAATGTATTTATAATGCTCAGGAATTAACTTTATCGTCGCTACGACATGCACAGAATGAACGAATAATGGCGTATATTCATATATATCCCGGAAGGTACAATTCCTCTTAACGAAACGCGACGGAAAGTGCAAAACGGCGATAATGTGGGAATCAACGTGAACCGCCCATTGTTCGACCGCACCGCCGGCTGTTATCACTACTTCGAATTTCATCCGCAGTCCTCTACAATGCCCCGACACCTCGGTTATCGTTTTTCCACTTTTCCGTCCTATTCCAGCGACATTTTCTAAAATTATACTCAGAGAGCGCGTGATGGCCTTCGTGTGTGTGACGTAGATAGTGCAACGATTGTTCTTTGTTCAGCTCGATATCGGGGTCTGCTTCTCGTTGGCTGTTGTTGAACGTATATCGAATTGCTGGCCCGCTTTTCCGTACGTTATCGAGCCTCGGCCGTGTGTAATGGAGAGAACAGTTTTACCGCAAATTCATCAAGCACCTCGCTTGATGCTCTATATCGCCTCTAGTACGTCAGCAAAACTATACATAGCTCTATCACGCGCTATCTTTATTTTTATCAATACGTTTTTAACCATTTTTTTTGTTAAATATTTTCCATATTTAATATCACAAACAGTTAATCACAATCAAGGTTTTTATAATATTTGTAATTTGTAAGTATTTGAAATACAATTTTGTATTTTATATTTTAGTGGGGCACATAAAAATATTTTATATTCTATATTTCAAAAAGACCGTTTAATATATTTTGTATTTTAAATACATGCAATTTTAATCTATTTTATAATTGAAAAAACTAATAAAATTTTAATATGTAAAAATTCTCGACAACAATTAATAGTAACTTAAATTTTTCTCATATGGCAATTAGCAACATTAATTATTTTCGTGAAATTTTGAACAGTATCAAGTTATCAGCGTTATCAAATTTCATGAGTTCACAGATTTTTCATGCGGTTGATAATATAAGACAATAGGACTGTTAAAAAGTGTAAGAGAGTGAGACAATTTTTCTTCCTCTCTCTCTAAAAGTTTGGAAAGTGGAAAGAAGCCTGTTGGGGAGGGGAGGGGGAATTTGTATTTTAAATCAAAAGAAGTATTTTGTATTTCAAATTTTAATGATGTATTTTGCTCAGCTCTGGTAACATTATGTTCCCAATTAAAAGCCTTTAATTCCTGAATTTCAGTTTTAGCTTCGAGTAACTTCGAAGTATGCGTGAAGTTATACAGCTTCGTCATTTTCGCGTATTTACGTTCAGTTCGTCAGCGCATTGCGAAAGCGCGCGGCTGATTTTTGCAAGCCTCCATTCTCCTCGTGCTGTTCAACTTCTCCACTCGATCGAAAATGGGGTAACGTTCCTAATTCTAAGCCTCGATTGAGGATACGTGGTACATAACAATGAGAGCCGGCCTTTCAGTCACTGCCACCCGCCGCGCGGCGGGTACGGCAAACAGCAACTTCTCGAGTTTCAACGAACAATGCAGGTACCACGATGATCGATACTCGTTCGTCGCTCGCCCTTTTTCAAGCCTTCACAATCGGCACCCAGAATCAGAAACTGTGCTCCGCCCGTTCGGATCGCGAACGAAGTGCGAATGAATGTATAGATTTTAATTAACGACACCGATATCGATAGCTCGGGACGTCTTATTCAGAAAATGAATGTGAAGTCTCATTGTACGACCAGAGTCTAAGAAACGACGAAGTTAATCGATTTCTATTTGAACAACCTCTTCTCTAAGCGCAGGTCTCTCAAGCGTTTCGACAATTTGTAAATGTACACTGATATTTGTTTTCTGTTATTAGACAAGTTAATCAAGATTTGAGGGAGGGTAAAAGCTATTTTCGCGTGTCCGCGCGAGATGCACAAGAAAAATGTTATTTTTTAATTTAACTGAAACGTCAGACGCAGCCGGAGTGCTGGCACGTTTCATTTCCGAAACGGTATTGATCGAGAGTAACGATTCGATGAACACAATAGCCCCGGCGTTGTGGAAACAATAGCTCGGTGTATTATTCGGTGCGGTTTTTGCCATACGTCGTTTCAAAGCAAATCGTCGCTCACTCGACTGTTTTCAAGTAAACTTTTATCGACGGAGAAGAATCCCTTCTGATTTCTTCTTTTTTTTCTTTTTTTGCAGAAAAATTCATTACGACGACGATGACTACGTGGCGTTGAACGTAGCCGACGAGCTGGAGGAGGAGGAGACTCTGAGCGGACCGGAGAAGGTGGACGAGACTCAGGGACGGTATCACCGGCCGCGGAGAAAGCGCAAACGTAAACGACGCAAGATCGATCCCGTCGTTGGTCCGGACTTGGAACTCGTCGATCCGGAGGAACTCCCGCCCCGCGCGCGCTGGACGATCGTCGCGACCGCTTGCCTTCTGCTCGCCATGTCCCTGCTCCTGGTCGGTGTTACGCTGCGAATGGCGCCTATAATTGACGACATGGGTGAGTCAATTGGCGACAATAAAGTCTCTCGTCTTTAATCGAGCGTTGCGCGTTTATTGCCTCTCTAAATCTGAATCAGTGGATTATAGTCACTGATTATCAATGGTTATTCATTAAATGCGTCAGTCCCAAGTATGTCACTGCAGATAATTAGTGAAATTCAACTTCATTGTCTCTCAGAAATTACTAATAAATAATCGCTATAATAGTTGACAAATCAATGGACTTTGCTAATTTATTCTCCGCTAATTGCACAGCGGATTCGGTTCTGTTTCACTTATTCATTAGCGATGCAAGGCGTTACTGCCTCACATCAGTGACTTTTCCACTGGTTCAGGTAGATATTTAGAGAGATACATTTAACAAAATCGTCTTGTTTATAGTCCGCTTTGTCACGCGTTTTGTGGCCCTGGTCGCGTTGGTACAGTCTTTTTTTCTTCTTCTTCCATTGAATTTACGAAGAAGATATTCGAGACGATCTCTCTGAAGGCGGTCCGTGCTCGATAAACACGTTTATTCCCCGACGATTTTATTAGAACGCGATAAAGCGCACGATTTATTACGCACTATACGGTCTTTTCTACGGGCGGAAAGCCATCCATCGGTTGACGCGATGCGTCCAAAAATAGTAGCTAAATAACAGCGCGGATTTATACGTACGTTTGAGAGCGTGGGAGAAAATCATGCTGGATTACCGGCGATAAAATATGCAAGGCGGCTCCCGGGGGTAGTAACCCCCGGATGAAGTTGCAAAGCATTAACGATTTAATACATCTTTATTATACAATCCTGTTGTACTCGAGAAACGATATTGTCACTTAGCAGATCCGATTAACATTAAGTGCATTGCCAAGTTCTCGCGAATCCAGATTTGATTAATCCTCTTATCATCTGCCACTTCGAGATTTCATAAAGAGTTAAAATTGTCTTCTTTCTTGTATAAATTGATATTAATTCTCTTTATATAAAGAAGATTTCTTATTATTCTATTAATATTTGCAATTTGCATATTCTATATTTAAATATATTTTTAGAACAATTACGGATTACTCTATCAAACAATTCTTTAGTTTGAATCTCGTTTAAAGGAATTAAAATATTGCATATAAAAATGCATGCCACGGAACGTCTTTTTAATTATTTTGAGCAATATAATTCTTTTAATTATGTATATTCTCTTTTAAATTATGTATTCTGTGAATTCTCCAATTTTCATCAAAACACCGATACGAAGTCTTAGTGCACACAATATTATAGGATTAATTATAACGAAGTTAACGTTCTCGACTAATGTGCGAAGTGACACAAAGCGGATGGCGTTCGGTAGTTCGGTTATGGTAATTGCCATTAATTCCGATGCGATAGCAGCTCGGTCACCGTCGTTAGCGGTCTCGTGGTGGACGCTTGCGTCGTTTCCTTCCTCGAACACCACAAAACCACGTTTCCTCGTGCACTTGGTGCACCGCGACCCGTCCGTGTTTCTCTAAACTCTGAGGCTTTTCCCACGGTGGAGGGGAAAGGGAGCGCATGGAGATTTTCACCAATTAACTGCTACGTGCAAACCGACGACACTACTGGATGTCGCGTCCGAAAGTACTTCTGCCTCGGGCCTATGTAAATCGTAAGGCGCACAGGATTACACACGTATATATATACGTACAATACACGGAGTTTCCACCGGCACAAATAAACCGCATGCAGCAGCGTGCGAGGTCGAGGGCGCCCCGCGTTTCTAAATTAAAGGCGCGCGTCTGCGAATCCTCCAGTCAGCCGTCGGATTTCCGCAGCTGAGCCACCTTGAAGCTCTCTCGCACTCTCGTCGTTCCACGGTCGAGAAAGCTCGCCCGAGAGTCGCTTTCGACGAGTGCCTTCGCGTCGTCTTTGCGCGTGCCAGCGACGTGCAGCTACCTCGCTGGCATCCGTATATTGTATAGTGTCGTTGATCCTCTCGTGACGACCGAGTACCGTCAGGATTCAGGATGTTACCCCGCGGCGAACGCGATTATAGTTCCGTAATGTATATAGGTGACCTTTCCGCCGTGATCGTGGTGGACGACCGATCGGGAGCACCGTGCGAGAAATGGAATTAAAGTTTCGACCAGCTGCCACATTTCCGACGTCGTTCTCTCCCGCGATGTGAAATTGTTGGCGCGATTGATCTACGGGAGTTAATTCGTTCGTCTCTCTCTCTCTCTCTCTCTCTCTCTCTCTCTCTCTCTCCTCTCTCTCTCTCTCTCTCTCTCTCCTCGAGAGGAAACAATTTCCTGGACATCCGTGCTCGAGAGCAAAAATAAGACCGCGCCTTCCGTGGAGTTGCCGACGGCAAGAGCAATGCGATTTTAACGCTCCGAGATTCTATAAAGATCGCTTAACGGCCGTTAAATTGCTGACACTGGTAACCATTACGCGAAATAAAAAAGTGTCCTATTGTAGAGATTAATTGTCGTCAAGGTAAAATTCCTGAAGATCTGCGATTGTGCGGAGATAGATATTCCGATAATATTTCAAAAATTCTTATTGCCTTAATACCGTAATAATACTTTATATATATTTTTTTTTTATTATAATACTTTTTCAAATTTGATTCATACTATTTACCTCGATTCTGCTTAAATATATTAAAATTTGCATTTTTTAAAACTTTCGCCAGCCACGAGCGATATCCGTTTCCGATAGAACGCGTCAAAGTGCGGATGACGTTGTATAAATACACTAAGCGCGCGCGAAATCAACAAGTCAGAGTCGATACTGGAACTTACACGATGGTTCAAACGATGTTTCTACGTCGAGAGATTTGCGGAAGCGGATGTCATCGTGTGTGCGGTAGGTCGGAAGCGTTGCGGTATTATTGATCCGAGGAGATGAGATTATTAATCTTTCGTTTGATGATCATCTCCGACGTAAACGTTTGATAATATTTAACGTCGCAGCTAATAAACTCACAGAAATAAATTGCGGCAGGCCGATCTTAAATCGTGCGCAAAATTAATTTTTCGAGCATACATCCTACAAAGCTGTGTGATAATTAATTTTTGTGTACCTCTTGCATCTCTTCGCGTCTATACTTTGAAAATTCAAATTTAATTTTACCATTTTTTGTTACCGCCGCGTAAGTATCTCTCTCGGATAAAAGTATATGAATTATCATTAAGCAAAGTTTATAAATTTCGTGCACGAAATGTTATAGAATTGTTAACCTTCGTTGAAATTATGTCAACTGTGCATACATAGTAAACAGGAAAATTATTAAATGGTTGTATAAATATCCATGCAATATTTGTATATCGAATTTATATTGAAATCAAGTCTACTGTAGATTTCAATTATTTGCAAACGTCGTTTATATATATATATATATATATATATATATATATATATATATATACATGGTGTGTATAAAATCGATTTATTATTTTTATATATAATCGAGTTTTTTTTTGCAAAACGCCAGGTTTCAACAGTTAGATGTATCGGATGTTGTTTCGTGCTCGAGCGCAGAATTGTTTGCAAAAATGGTAGTGTATTGATTTGCAGCAGATGCGACGTTCCTTTGTGTCTGCCTTTGTCAACATCGATATCTACAACATTTTAATTGAATATATATCTTTCTCGCGCGCGTCACACGTATTTACAGCTCTTGTATTTCTCTCACAGTGTTTGGAGAGACATTTAGTCGTTTAACAAATATACCGTTGCATCGATTGAATTAAGTGCAATTATAAGATTAACATTTTGCAAAGGAGACTCTCTTCAGCTTAATGAATATTAAATAATTTAGACTTTTAACATTTATATAATTTGTAACTTTTAACTTTATATCTCTGAATTTATATATTGACATTTTTGTAAAGCGTTCTCTACTCTTTTTTTTAAACATTTCTTTTTATGCATATGGCATGTGATACATTTTAGACACAATTTTGCAAACACATTCACGCTGTTCATAGGAAAGAATCGCTACTAATTTAATTGAGTTTGAAATTTCTATTTTTAAAATAAACTCAACTCTCTCTCTCTCTCTTTCTCTCTCTCTCTCTCTCTCATCTGCTTGTTTCTGACGTCCGTTCGAATTTCAGGAAATAGCGAGAGATAGCTGTCGAATGCTTACAATAGTTGCTAAACGTGATCGGCAAAATTACCGGGGAATCGCGTATTGATCCTAAATACGCAAGACGACTTTCCGCGCGCGCGGAAATTTCACGGAAGGCGTCTCGTTTTCGGCACTTTACAGCATCGGAGCGTTTACATCGTTTCGCGCTCACACGGCGCGCGAGAATCAGGTCAGGCCTGAACGCCGCGGTTGATTTTCGCCGCGCGTTTGATTTTGACGTTGCACGTCATTAAAGGGTACGGATATAGAGCGATCGTCATTGCTGACATTTGGTTACACCCACAACTGCTCTGCAGTTGATTCATTACGATCATTTCCCCGTCAATCGCGTGCACTTTGCGCGCGCGCACCGGATCGAGTGATCAATCAATTAGCGGTCTTTAATTACTTCCACCTGCCAATTGTATCAGTAAATCCTTTGAGTCGGTGCTCAAACAGAGGGAAGTTCATAATCCCGCTTCATACATTTCCCATACACTCGAAACTCGCGGGCGGTAATCCACCCGCGCCGCGCCGAATTCCCGGCTGCGAGAGTTAACATCCACGTGGAATTTGTGTGTACATTTAACGGCAAATAAAATTTTACATTTATTCGTCCGCGCGTATTAAAGTCGACCGGCGCATGGTGTGTTGTGAAAAAGCTCCGAAAGCGCTAATGCCGCACCGCTTTTACATCGAGCTCCCGCGTAAAATTGCACTACGAAGCACGGTGAATTTTTTATTTCGCTGTCACGGTGAGGGAGGGGGCGGGTACGAGCTGTGGAACAGCGAGACTAAGCGGGGCTGGAATGGGTGAAAATTTTAAAGGGCACGGCATAAGCCGGCATATAGGCTCATTTCACAATGCCGTAACGCGAGAGTAATGCTCTGCCGGCCATTATGCTTGCGC